TGTTCTCTTGCGCTGATGACCACAGAGCTTAGCCCTTAGAACTCCTGCTTTGCGGGGCTCTGCTTAGACTGTGACGCTGATCAAGTAACTAAGGCTTAGCCTCAACGTCCTCATTTTATAAAGTGGGTTTTGTCTGTGTGGGGGCAGTAGCTCTGAGAGGGCATGGGCAGGAACCAGCGGGGGCAGGGAGGGTTAGGTGAGTCTGGAGTGCATCTGTAGATTACCTGGTTCCCCGCCCCCGCCCAACAAGCTAGCAGCGGTGGTGGCCCCCCGCTGCTTGTGTGCAAGTTCTGAGTCCCTGGGCAGAATACAGGGCTACCAGCCCTGGGCAGCCCCTCTAGTTGCTCCTCAGATGCCAGAACTCAAAGAGCTCAACAGGGCATAGGAATGGCAGAAGGAAGGCAGCCGTGTGAGAGTAAGCCGCAATGATTTAGTTTTAAAGGGCCACAGCCTCTCCCTTAAGGGTGCATTAAGTCATTATCATCAGGGTTAAGTTTCACCCAGTTTTCAAAGTAAATGTTTTGTAAAGTATCACAGTTTAAATAACATTAACAATAATAATTTCGTCTGTACAAAGATTCCATCCAGTCGGAGACAAATACAAGGTCCTATGGGCAGGCCTTGCTCTCCCAAGCCAGACTCTCCCCCGCTGAGGCCGCGCTCGCGTCCCGCGTGCTGCGAAGCAGCTTTCTTGGTCCCTTTTTGCCCAGGCGGCTGCCAGCCTTTTTAGGAAACAACGAGCTGAAAGGCCTCTTCGAGAGCCTGACACCCACCCTTCCCTGCCCGCTGTAACTGCGGGGTCCCCCAGAGTCCGGGGACGACCCCCACCCCCATTCCCCGACGGCTCCTTCAGCAGGTCCCCAGACGAAAAGAGCTTAAGGTCCTTGGCCCACGAATCAGCAGGTTTACCTTTTTAGAGAGAAGCGCATTCTTGAAAGTAGCAAAATGAGTGGGTCTTGCTCTGAGAAATGGGAGCATAACACTCTTGCTCTCTCTGCCAAGGCCAGGGCTGGAATTTGGTGGGCTCCAAGGCTCGGAGCTGGGCCCGCGCCGACCTCCGAGTGGCGCAGGGCTCTGCTCACGCACCTTGGGCTAGAGGAGGAAGGATCGCAGCGCCGCACAAGGGGCCCCCTCCCAGCAGAGCCTGGGGCGGGGCTCAAGGAGAGGGTGCACAGCCCCCGGCTCCCCACCTCGTGGCTGGAGTGCCCACTCTCCGCTGCAGCCTCCTCGCCTCCCCAACCCGGCGTCTCGCGACAGTCTTCCGGTCGCTCTGGCTCAGCCAGCGCCGCTTGGCCTCCTCCCTCCTTCCCAAGGCCAGAAACGGGACCCCTTCCCTCACCTTCCTCCAAATTCCCATAAAGAGTTGAGGAGAGTGGGGGTAGGGGCGGCGGGAACCACTGGCCAGAAACTTCAAGTTCAACGGCCAAGTCCGCCGGCAGACGGCCTTTCTCTCTCCATCGTCCCGAGGGTGACTGAACGCTGGCCTTTCCGTCACTTTGGAGGCACTTAGGGGAGGGGGACCCGTGGTGGAACTCCTTCTTCTCCGTTTGCTCCGACCACCCCCACCCGCTTTCTACACGACAGTAACTGGTAGCCGAGAAAGGAAGAAAGGCTGGCATCAGTTCCGCATTGGATGTTTTCAAATTTCGCTCCCGGCCCAGGCCAGCGCCTGCGGGGAGGGGCGGGCTGGCCCCGCCGGGTGAGGGGCCAGATTTAGGCCTTTCTTCTGCCGCAGGGCAGCTACTGGTCCTCGAACCACTCAGAGCAGAGGTGGCTAGCTGGGAAAGGAGGGAGAACTGGTGGGGGAGAGCGGGCTGGGACGGGGGTCACGGCGGTGCCAACAGTCGCCTGCTGCGGCTCGCGAGTTCTAGGGTGGCGGCGAGCGTTTGCCCGCTTGCCAGTAAGGGACCCCTGAGCTGGGGCCCCGGGTTCGCTGTCCGCGGGGCTGCTTCGAGAAACTAGATTCGAAAAGAGCTTCCCGAGGTCCTGTCAATGGTCTTTTCCACCATTACCGCCTAATCCGTCCTCTCGAGGCCTAAGAAAATCCTCCTGATTTGGAATTGGAAGTGATTTCGGTCCTGGCGCAGCGTAGACACCACCCTCCAACCCTGTTTCGACGTTTGCTGAGACTGAGCTGGCGAAGTTCCGCTCAGAGAAACGGAGAGGGCGCAGAGGGAGGCCCGGAGTAAAATCACGCGTCGTTGGTGAAAAGACACCCGGTGTGTTTCCTCCGCCTAGGCGTTTATTTGTCCATGAAAATGTCTGAATTTACCTATTTGAGAACGTTGTATTCACGCATTTCAATCTAAATTTTAGCGAAACACTCTTTCTTGTATTAATAGCTTAAAATAGCCCTATTTAAAAAGCAAATAGCTGCAGGCAAGTAAATGTAGATACATAATTTTGTTGTAGTTTAGACACAAATTAGTGAAAGGTTTTTAAGTGGTCTCGGTGGAAGGGGATATAATTCGCCTTGGTAGTAACACCGGTGTTTGGAAAGAGCTTCCATAAAACGGTTTAACACAAAGCGAAATTGAATTTTTTTTTTTTTTTTTTTAGTTNATTGTTCTGGCGAGGAAGATAAATTAAGTACTCCAGTGGAATGAAGACCTGGATCGAGGGCTGATGGCGCCGCAGCCTTGCTCTGGGAGCCCCGGCGAACCTGTTTTTTCTCTATTACAGATCTCTTGTGCTGCCCTTCTAGCCTTCCTCCTGGGTCTCTCCGCCGCTGGGCTGATACATTTGCCAGTACCCTGGCCCAGTTTCAGGCGACTCCGCGTCCGGGCGCTCTCACACGCGGCTACGAATTCTCCAACCCCGGAGGCCTGAGTCCCCAGGCTTTCGAAAGCCAGAGGCTCAGTTGAAGAGTTGTTAAAAAGCCGATCCGACCGGCGAGTTTCTCTGAAATGGCGAGATTCTGCCGGAAGGGGGCGCCCTTGTCTTTTTAATAGGCCAAACTCACGTTGGTAGAGAAATAAATCTAAAATCCCACATCTTTTGTTTGTTCTAAAATTGTTGCGAGAGCATAACAGAGGAGCCCCGAAACTTTAAGTCCTTGGTAACGGAATGGAGGCATTAGAGCCCCGGGAGTCCAGAGTCTCGAGGCCCCTGACTGCAGGCCTTCCGAAGTCACCTCGGGAATTCCGAGTGGTAACCTAAAGCCTTTCCCCTCCCTCTGTAGGGAGCAAGCACCACGGCGGTCTCCCTCATTTGTCCCACACTCCACCTACCCATAGGCCTATCTGTCCTGAAGTCTCTCAATTTCAGAAGTGGCAAGGGAGGGGGCTGCACCCACTAACCTTCGGAATCCGCGGTATTAAAAATTACTAAAGATTGGGACTTCGCTTGAAGGAGAACATGGAAAGCTGAAAGTAACTTTCTCTGGGCGAGGCGCAATACCAGGGAGCTTAAACTGGACCACGGGTCTTGGAAAGACTGTGTAAATCACGAAATTGACATCTTCCCCTTCCCCAAGCACACTCACTATCTAAGAAGACCCAGGGAGGGAGGGCATTGCCAGTCGGGGCCTTTTCCCCCCCTCAGCTTTAGAATGCTCTTTGGTTAAAAAAAGAAAAAATTGGAAGACTTAGAAGAGTCTTCCTTCCGAGAAGAGGCAGGACTGCGATGCCACACGACTCGAATTGCTCGGCTGCGGCGGTTTCCAGGAAACTCAGGCGGTTGGTTCCCTGGAAAAGGAGGAGTCCGCTCTGAGATGGAGGGGCCGTCGAGACGCGGCCGGGGCCCCTTCCGGAGCTCGCCTCCTGACTGCCAGCTGCGGGGAGGCTTCGGAACGTAGGTCTGGCGGCCCGTCCTCTCCACTTCACTCCTGTGCTCTCGATCGCCGGAAGACTGCCAGAACCCGCCAGCCCGGGCTGCGGGAAGATCCAGCTCAGCCCGGCTGATGTTCCGCGCAAAGATCGCATCTGGTCCCGGCCTAGATACACGACTTCAGGTTCCCCTCGGCTCTGCGAACAGCCGGTCTGCCCCAGAGCCCGGGCTGCGGGAAGATCCAGCTCAGCCCGGCTGATGTTCCGCGCAAAGATCGCATCTGGTCTCGGCCTAGATACACGACTTCAGGTTCCCCTCGGCTCTGCGAACAGCCGGTCTGCCCCAGGTTTCTGGAACTCCGCACTATTCGCATATTGTCTACGTGGTTGTGGAAAACATGGTTGGCGCCAAACTGCCCTCCACTCCCCCAGAATCGGTGTATGTGAACTGAACCAGCACAAAGTGAAAGGAAACAGTTCTGTTTCCACTATTGTCCTGGCGGCCTGCGGTTCCCCATTCTGACACTGGCTTTTGGGAGCTTCTGCCACCGCTAGTTCTTTCACTCGGTAAAGAATCTGCCTGAGACTCCAAGGCCTGAGACTCGGAAGCTCCTTGGTGTCACCCGCAGGCAAGCAGAGGAGAAATGGGCAGTGAACTTGCCATATTCATGTTTTCTCCTTCTAGGCTATACAAGTGTGTTTGGGATGTGCCTGCCACGGATAGGCTACCAGTCCCCTCATTCTGCAACCGTTTGTGCCTAAGAGGGGCTCTGTCTACAAGGCCACAAATGTCTATTTCATACAGCTCCCAAATGCCCAATGAACCATGACTTACCACCTTTGGTCAGAACCACCAGAAACATTAAGGGAAGGCTTGGAAAGTTTTGGAGAGGAAGTGGTGAATTATCCAGGCGCTTTCTCAAACCCCATTTCTCTGGAAGAAAGAACAGACCCTGGAGGGCAGTCCACTGGCCTCATTTTCACACAGGGCTGAAACTAAAGAGTTAGGCATGTGGACTTCTGAGACCAGGGGGTACAGTGGAGGGAGGGAGAGGTACCCTCCAGCATTGGCCAACCTGCCTAGCTGTCATCTTAGAAAAAAAATGCTAAAGAGGCAATGGGAAATGTAGTTCCAGGGGTAAATCTGCCATTTCTTGTCTCCTCTGCCTTCACTGGAATGGGGACAGGCTTTGGAAATGGAAGAGGTTCCAGAGGAAGCTGTCCTGTCACCGGTCTCCTTCCAAGTTTATTCATGATCAGCTCAATCCACAAAAGCAGTTTCTAAAAGTGCTCTACAGAGCTCTAGATAGAAAATATGATACTAACTATCATGGCAACTAGTACTGGGTATGGTGATTATTGCAACTGCCAGAATGAATGATTATGACTGGGACAAGGTCATTTGGGTAGTGTTACCTGGTGGACTGGGCTGTAACTCTGGGCCTTGCTGGCTCTCTGTGACCCATGGGGTATCCAGACTATCCCTGAAGAACAGCCCAGGAACATTGGCCTGGGAAGAGTGTCACTTCTGGGGGCCTCTCAGCAGAGTCCTGGGCCCCAGCTTGGCCGAGGCAGGCTCCTGGTCTCACCAGGATACCCCAACTCCCCCCTTCCCCCTCCCAGCCAGAGCCAGGGAGCTCCCTCATGGAGTAGCACTGGTTTTGACCTTGGCGAGGACCTTCTTCTCCTTGACCCGGCGATTCTGAAACCAGATGGTGATCTGGCGCTCTGAGAGGCTGGTGGCAGCCGAGATCTTGCGCCTCTTGTCCTTGGTGATGAACTTGTTAGCTGAATACTCGCGCTCCAGTTCCCGCAACTGTCCCTTGCTGTAGGGAATGCGCTTCTTGCGACCTCGGCGGAAGGCGCAGCCGTCAGGCGGATGCTGTGCGCTTGAGTCTATGCAGGAGAAGGAGGGAGAGAGAGACATGCTCAGACCACGGCCTAGCGCAAGCCCAGGGTCTGACCCAGGCCCCACAACCTAGATCATCCTACAGGAGCACTCAGGCTACCATACAGGCACTGCCATTTCCCCAAAGCACAAGAGGACACCTCCGCTTCCGGCTGGTTGGTTTCCTGATCCACCCAGCCTTGGAAAGAGGAGAGTTCTGCAGGCCACCCTCACTCATCACTGCCTTCACGCCTGCAGTCTGCAAACACACCCATCACATACGGCCACACCTTTGCCCACCATCTATATTTGTCCACCCTCATATGCATTTTCCAACTCTTGGCCACTCTTTAAAGATACTACAAGCAAATTCTGTACAGGAGGGAACACATTTCTGCCCCTACTCCCAACACACACACACACACACACACACACACACACACATGCACCAATGCACACACCTAAGTCATGGCTGCAGGAAATCTATACTTCCCTTTGGAAACTGAAAAGCTCATCTGAGAGAAAGGGGTTGTATTCTTTACAGAACAACCAATTTCTCTGTCCCCACCCAGCTGCACCCCCACACCCAATGAATTGAGAGGAATTAAACTGAGGTCCTGCTGGGCAGGAACACCCTAAGTCCCAAACAACAGCAAAGAGAGTCAAGCACTCCGACATATTGAAAGGCTGGTCCCACAGCCTCCCAGGGAGATCAGGGACCTGGTGGGCCTCAGGCTTCAAATAGCACCCAGCTCAGGCCCCTCACACTGACCCTCTGAGGCCTTCACCCAGGCTCTCTAATGCCTGCGCCCTCCTTCAGAGCCCTAGTAGCCAACCAAGGAGAACCAAGCTCCTCCTCACCAGCCCAAGACCCATCCAGGCAGGGTCTAGAACGCCACAGTCAGCACCAAGGGCATCCAGAGCAGCTTACCTGCAAATGCTGCCTTCCAGAAAGGACCTGGAGGGTTCTGCTCTCCCTGGCAACACAGCTGACTGTTCCAGCCACTGCTGAGGGCCCAGGGCTGGTAACTGTCCACAGGCAGCAGGGAGTCGTGGCGAGGCTCCCCAGGGGCACCCAATGTCTGCACCACCGACACATCCAGGTAACTGGCCATAGGCTGGTAGGGTCCCGGGTATCCCGGGTAGAAGGCAAACTCGGTGGGGCGGCTGGGGTACTCCTCCCCAGACGCCGGAGTTTCCGCAGGGTAGGCGGCCAGAGTGGCCGCCTGGGCACAGGGCTTCAGCGAGCTTCGGGACACTCGGCAGGAGTAGTACCCGCCTCCAAAGTAGCCGTAAGGCACTGGAGCTGGGGACGCCCCCTGGGGCACCCCGGGGCATGGGTGGCACTGCTTTGGCGGTTCCGCAGAGCCTGGCAGATCCAGCGGGGCATAGTTGACAGCAGGCATCAGCGTAGGCGCCGCCGCTGGATGGCTGGTCAGTGGGGAGTGGGTGACCAGGTTCCGACTCCCTCCAGCTCCCAGCAAGCCTTCCATCTCCTTGGCGCCGTCCAAAGTGGTATAAGTGCCGGGCTCCATGGGGCCGAGGATCGGCTCATGAGGCGCTGGGTGTGGGGGGTACAGGGGGCACCCAGCTCGCTCTCCCCACCCAGGTCCGGGGAATCCAAAGCGTTTTAAATCGCTGGCAGCTCTCTGGGTGCCTGCATTCGCTCAGCCAGGCCGTCGTGACGCAGGAGCCGCAGGTGCCCGGGCACATCGGGGGCGGGGAGGCGGGAGAGGAGAGACGGAGCCAGCCCCACCTCGGTCGCCTCCTCTCCCTCCCTGGCTTTGGCAGGTTTAACAAGAGAATAAAAAGCTCTCCCTATAAAGTGTCCATCTCGTGGGGGGAAGGGGAGTTGAGGGTGGGGCCTAGAGGCCGCTCTGAGCCTGAAAGGAAAAACCCGGGAATGCGTCTGAGCCAGAAGGGGCTAGAAAACGGGAGTTAAGGGGTATTTCTGGAAGCTCCTTGCTTGGGGGTCCCAGTAGTAGCATCCCAGTTCACTCCAGGTGCCCCTCCCATTTTGGATGTGCAGTGATAAGCTACCCCTGGACCTCGGGAAGTGCCTAGGATACCACGCATAGGCTATAAAGCTCCGGATTCGAAGAGGGGTGGAAAGCAGAGGGAGCGGGACACAGACTCCGAAGGAGACATGAGAACTGGAGACGCTAAAGGTTCAGACCTGAAGCGGAAATGGAGCTTCTGGACCTGGCCTGTAAAAGGGGGTTTGGATTTCCGTTTTAGGATGGGGAAAGAACTATGGAAAGATGTCACATACGACCTGTATATTCAGAGAGAGGCAGAGAAAGAGCCAGGAAAATGTGATCCAGAGACACTGTAAGGGAGAGAAGTTGAAGGACGGGTTTGAGATAGAATGTTATAAAATCCTAAGTACCAGTCAGAAAAGATAAACCCTTCCCCCCTTTTCTGGGATCTAAGATTATTTCCAGAAAACCAGGCCTGGCTAGCTGGCAAAGAACTAGTTCGGGGGAATCTGGACCCCAAGAATACAGAAGTCTGGCCTTTATGAAGTACCCAGTCTCTCTGTCTTCCCCTACATTCCTCGGGGCCCAGAAAACTCACCCTGGTCTTGGCACGCTCCCAACCCAAGCCTAGGACCAGAAAACCCAGGACCCCTATGTGCTTTCTCCAGGCTTTCCCTTTCCTAAGAAGGAAAAGGGCATGGGAGAGGGAATCTCAACCACTGGAGGAATTATCTGAGACCCATCTGTTGGGAACTATTGTGCAGGGCAAGGCAGAAGCCTCAAACCATTTTTTTCCCCCACAGATCTGTCTTCAGAGATTTTCCATCACTACCCCTCCCAAATCAAATCTTCTGGGTTCACTTTTTCTAGAACTCACAGGTTTTCTGGAGAAGACAGGAAGTTTTGCATTCTACACCAAGGTCATGGCAATTTTATAGTACAGACTACCCTGCACTCTAGGTGGGCTTGGCCATACCCCCTCACCAACCTGAGTCTGAACTTGAGCTATCTTTCAGGAAACGGCCCATGCAACCAGAGTTGCTCCAAGTTGCAGGGCTGTAGGGAAGAGTATAGCTTACTTTCAGTGATCATTGCTGATAATTGAAGACACTAAGCATGAAATCCTCACTGGATTTTGTTGTATTTGAAAACAACAGAAGAGAAAAGGGAGGCGATGTCTCTTTGGTGCTTTCCAGTTTTTACTATGGCCTCTTGCTTGTCTGATTATGAAAGGCAGAAATACCAGGATTTTTACTTAACGACTAAGAATTTTTTACTGCTTTTTGCTTGGTAGATGAAAACACAGGCATGACTAGATCCCTAAATTTTATAAATAGATAAATCAATTCCATTCCTGGGAATATACCCAACAGAAATGAATGTTTATATCTATCAATAGGCAAGTACTAAAATATCTAAAGCAGATTTATTTATTATAGCTCAAAAATAGAAACAACCCAAATGTTCATCAATAGTTCAATTTTAAAAAACACTGCTACACACAACATAGATAAATTGCACAGATAGGTGGGTAAAAGAAGCTACACAAAAGAGTAAATTTTGTATGATTCTATTTCTATGCAGTTCAACCAAGAATAGCCAAAATCAAATCTATGGTGATAGAAGTCAGAATAGATTGCCCTGGAGAGGGGAGCTTCTGACTAGTAGATGACATAAGGCTGGAAATGTTCTGGATCTCAGATCTCTATCCATATGCTAGTTACATGGGTATGTTCACTGTAAAAATTCCAGATGTACATGGGATATTTCTTCACATTACATCAGCTTATCTCTATTTTTTAGAAGGAAAATAATTAAATACAAAAATTTCAAGATTCATAGCAATATTGCCTGCCATTGTGCTTTTTGGATATTAGTGTTCTTGTCTATGTCTTACAGAAATAAGCAGCTGAATGCATGTAACTCTGCATCATTGTAGAATGCAGAGAAGAGCAACTCAAACCTTGCCCTGGAGAAGCTCACCAACTGTGCTGGAGACCTCTATGCAAACAGATATAATTCAATACAAATAAATACTACGGGAGGGGGGTTGTTTCTGTTTTACTCTACAATTTATTTAGCATCTAGCAGATTCTAGGGAACAGTTCCAAATATCACATTAATATATGTGCATGTGCTCCCATTTTCTGTTTAAGTATTTTTAAGTTTAAGCATGTTTAAGTATTTGCAAACATCTATGACCTGTCATAGACCTCAACTGGAGTCAAGTAAGGCAGAGTACGTCTTATCCGTAAAATTATGTCTTCTCAAAGGCACAGTAATTTCTACCCCTCAGAAATGCTGTGAAGATTTTTTTGCACATGAAAGCATTTCATAAACTGAATAAATGGGTTCTATTTGTGTTTCTGTATGTGTTTCCGTTTCTAATGAACTACGAACCACCTGTTTTTATTTGGAAAAAAAAAAAAAAGAACAGTTTCCCTAACAAGTATTGATTGGCCCCTTCTCACTTGCCTCTTTCAGCCTTGAGTAAGCCTGCAGTTCCCACATACAGAACCTGAGGCTCAGCACCTCAGTATCCTCCCTGAGCTCTAGAGTCGAGGGCGGAATTTAGAACAACCAAGGCATCGTGACCTCCCCACCCGCCTGGGCTGAGCCAGCCCTTCCCCCAGCCCCACAGATTCCTTTTTGTCCTGCTGGGAGCCTCTGGACAGACCCTCAGGCTCCCTGAGCCTCCCCGACCCCCAACCCCGTTTACTGACCCAGCCAAACTCGCAGAAAAGCCTCAGCTGCTCCTTTACATACAGGCCAGACACCTCCAGGAAGGTCAAGGCCAAGTTGAAAGTTAAGAGTCTGTTTACCTCCGGGAGCCCATTCAGAGCGGCCCCACAGACCGCCTTTGACCTTTACAGCCAGGCCTTTGAGCGCGGCCGCAGGGGTTCCGGCCGGTGGGCACCTCCTTGTCTGCGCCCGTGGAGCTGGGGCTGCAGACAGCCGACTAGGGGGAGGGGGCGAGAGAAGCCCACCCGCCCCGCTTGGGGCATTTGTTAAATTATGGTTTATTTTTCGTTCTCCCACCTGGAGGAATGTACGCGGTCCTGCAGCTTTCATTCGGTCGTGATGAAAAACAAGAATTCGCAGCGATTCTGGAAAGGTCGGGGCTCCGCTGGCCGGCTAGACTGCGCGGCCTGGTGGAACTGCTTGAGGAGGTTGATTTCATGAAAATGGGCTAACAGGGTGCATGCCTCTCTTTGGGCTTTTCTTCCATCCTTTCTTTCTATCTCTATGTTCCTTAATCGGTCTTTAGTCTTTCAGTATCTTTCTTTCCTTTTTATATTTGTGTTCTTCTGCCTTTCTCTCCTTCAATTTTGGTTATCTTGCTTTGGGGACATTCTTATTTTCTTTCCTTCCGTCTTTACTGCTTACTTTCTCCCCACCCCACCTCCGATTACCTTTATTTTTCCCTTGGTTATTTTCTAGTTCTCCAACTCGCGTACACTGCTTTTCGCTTGTTTGCTTTTTCATCCTCTCCCTTTTCTTTCTTTCATTTTCTCCTTTTTCCTTCCCTCCTCCTTTTCTGTCTTTCCCTCTCATCTATTTTATTTTTTTCTATTTTCCCCCCTCTTATTTCCCTTTTCACTTTTCTCTACCCCTTTCCTGGCCCTCTCAATTTTCCATTGTTCTCTGAGGTCGGCATAGAGCCCGCCGGGGGCTCCCCACCGCCACAGTCTGACCTTGGCAGGCACCTTGCAGGGCGGTCCTGCAGCCCGATCTCCAGCCAGCCTGCTGGGGCCCTTCTCTGTGAAATCAGGCAGGCTCTGGCCAGGCCTCACAGGAAAATGTTTTGGACAAAATGACGGCAGAGTCTGGGAGCTACAAGAACTACAAGTGGAGCTCCACTCCAGCTACAAGAGTGGAGGCCTGGCTGGTCAGGAGGAGGCCACTCTCACCTCCATGTCCCTCTCACCCTGTCAGCCCTGCGACATCCTTGGGATTAGGACCCTCTCAGGACAAACGCAAATGCTTCAGAAGCCGAGGCTGAGGATCCAGAAATTAGAGCCTATTAGGCCTTCACCACCCAGCAAGTGGATCTGAGGAGCAATCAAAGACTATCTGCTAAGGGGAGAAGCTAGTGCCAGCCACATCGCTGCCGCGGTCCTGATGGCGCCCAGAAACCAGAGAAGCATTGAGTCAGGAACCGTGAGGCCAAGAGCCAAGGGAGGGAGGCAGAGAGCGAGAAAGGGGATGGGAGTAAACCTGTGGGGCGCTGAACAGAGCAGCTCTCCGGGGCAAGCCCGCCGACTGATCCTGCCTGCCATATGTGTGCGTGCCAGGTTGAAAGGCCCACCTCCGAGGGGCCCCAGCCTCCTTGCAGGAAGTACGCTTTGCTGGGAGGCCGACCAGGTCACCTGCCCACAACCCCAACCCAGAAAAGCCCGGTGGCATCTGGCCCCAACCATCAGGAATGGGGAGCACAAGGCTCAGGTAAGGGTCTAATCTCGCTCGGCATGGTGGGCAATGTCATCTCCCCTCTCTGCGCCTCCATTTTCCTATCTGCCCTGTGTAATGAGGGAAGGGCTGGATCAGCTTCCCTTTTAGTCTGCAGTCACTGTTCACTTTGGACACAAGGGTGGTGCGCAGGCAGGAACAGGGAAGGGACGATTACTGGAGGTTGAGGGCGTTAGTGAGG